CTACAGACACAAACACAGATACATTTACTACACACACACACACATATATATTTTTATATATACATATATATATATATTTATATATATATATATATACATATACATATACATATATATAATAATAATAATAATAATAATACAACTATAATTACATATATATATATATAGTAAGTATTTAAAGAACATATTGCAATTCAGAGTATGATGCTACCTATCGATAAGCAAGCATGCAAAAGCAAGCATGCAATTTATGTATATTAAGAAAACGAAGGAAATATACAAAGTTGTGAACATGTGTATAGTATAATATAAAAGATAGTATACAAGGCTCATGCTCACGGATACTTACCACAGATGATAGCGCTGAAAGGAATTTCCCACAACGATCAACTTAGCACAGCTCTTCGCATCCCAATTGGCCCATAGCAAATTGTTATACATTCTCGCACTGCAATGTGGCATGAAGAACAGCGTACAATCCGTGACAGAGCGTTTGGCTTCTTCATCCACCCCAATTATCTCACATTCATACTCTTGCTGAAGCACTTCAAGTTCCAGAGGCGACAACACAGGTTCGTATATCATGAGTGTGCGGGGGGCAAGGCTGAGATATTTCCTGACGGCCAGCGCATATGCCAATTGATAGCGTGCTGACTGTGAGTCTAGCAGGCTACCAATCCCGTAGCATACAAGCTCGCTAGGCATCTCCTCTCTGTTAAAATCTACTTGTTCATTATTGTACGGGGCATAGCAACTTTTATCACCCCTTTCATTCCGTGGTTTACCGCTAAGGTCAGAGCTCCGTCTCTTACACAATACATGATCCCCTTTCCTACAGTGTAATCGATGAATTGCATTATTTAAAAGGCCTTGTCCTTGTGACCAGAAAGACGATGCTTCTATGCTTGTCTGGGCCTTCTGTATGTCACTTATCAGTTTAAGTTTAATTGTTCCGTTTCCCTCTATTGACCGTGGTTTCATTGATTTAGATGCCGCAATTGCCTTTGCAGACCATTTATGGTGCGATGATTTCTTATGACCTGTCAGTCGATTTTTAGAACGTAAGCCGTCTTTGCGCTTGTTCTTAACAAGTGTAAAGCCATCTTCCTCCATATTGTATGTGCGCTCTGCAGTACACCGACAGTGTCAAGCCGTTCACAGTGCCCCACTCCTGTTATCACACTGACAGTGTCAAGCCGTTCACAGTGCCCCACTCCTGTTATCTGCTTCCCATCTATATAATTATTTCCCCCATATTTTTTAGGGTTTGGGATTGTGCACGTGGAGGGTTTTTGGGTTTAGGGTTCTAATTAAAGGCTAGGGTTCTAAGCTTAAAGCTAGGAGAGTGCTTATGAGGCTAAATCCCGATATAAAAGGCAGAGATCAAGTTACAGATGTAATCGTAGAGCAAAGCGATTGAATACAAGTTCCATGGCAGTTTCAAATCCACGTCTTTTAGAAGAGAAC